CTCAGTGGAGCTTTCCTATTTGTGGTACTTTTTTTGTTCCATTTTATACCATTTTTGTGTACTTTTTTTTGTGTACTCGTTCTTGTAGCCACTGGCTGTGAGGTCTCCCCGCGTATGGCGATGTGCCTTTCATGGAAGAGGCCAAGAGGTCACATCCATTTTGTGTACATTTCGGGTACACCCCCAATGCGCATAAATATATATTGAGATTTGTGAATTCAACGGCCGAGTGAGGGAGTTGGTGGAGCAGCTGATTCGCTGGCGTGATTGAGGGGAAAAAAGAGCCATCAACAAACTCTTCTTATTTGGCATGATTATGAGAGAAGAAAAATTTAATTTAAAAATCTGAATGGGTATCTGTCTATGCATTTGTGGAGACAAAAAAAAAAGTTGCAGGAAGAGAAGCACATGTATATTCGTATGGCATCATTACGCGTTGATATGTATGTGCATGCACAAGTGCACGCGTGAGCATGGTGGGGAGGGTGGAAGCCGTGTCCTATAGGGAGAGTGGTCCACCCGCGCGTGACCTTCGCCATCTATATTATGCATCACTTGGGCATTTTTTCTTTTTTTTTGTGTTTTTTCATTCCGTTATGGATTCGTTTTGGCGATGACACCTTTTTAATGTTTTTGTAGAGAGGTAAACATGAGTAGGAGCAACTTTCGTATTCCGTAAAATTGCGTCGAGTTTATTTTCCCCAAGGGTAACAATTTTACATGAGGGTTGACACTCCTGCCCGATTTTTTATTTTTCTGATATTTTATAAAGGCCGAATGAGCATGCATGGGAAATCGCGCGAGATTTGATTTCACCTAAATGGGAAAAGAAATCGAAAAATTAGCTAAGTCGTAAAGGAAGGGAAGCCTATTACGCCATTGTCATGTATGCATCCGTTTTGGACACGTGACCATTTTGTATGGCCATTTGTTTGCGCGGTTTTGGTGACACTCTTCTGTGAGATTTTGTATGTCCCCTTTTTTTGTGCATACTTTACGACGCCTTTTTTGTGGACGTTTTATGTCTCCTTTTTTGTGGACGTTTTATTCCCCCTCTTTTGTGAATGTTTTACGACCCCTTCTTTCACATTTTTTAGTACCCACCTTTTGTATAATTTTTCATACCTTACGCTTCTAGAAAGAGGGAGGGAAGGATGCCAATTAATCAATCTCCAGCCCGTTAGTGCCCACGTCACTTTTTTCATTCGTCGGAGATGCCGCGCCGCTTTTACGGCAAACTAGACCGTCGGAAAAAATAGCTAACACGTACACACATGTACGTATGGACGTATGTATGTATATATAAACCTACATAATACTTGTATTCCCCTTCTTATCGACATGGTTAATTATTAAAACGCGCTTAAATATGAGTTGCAGAGCGTAGGCCAGGGAATGGGAAGCTCGTTCCGTAATTAAACCTGTACGCGTAGAAGTCATATGCCATATACTCCTTTCACAAAAAGGGGACCCCCCCTTTAACCGAATGGGCTCCCTTCCCCTGGAGTGGGATAATTTTTTGGAATTTTTTTAAGGATCATGTTTTTCCAGTTGTGTATAACTTCAAAAACAAAAAAACTTTATTTATATTTTGTCTGTTATCAAATGTACGTAGGGAGGTTCATAAAAATGTAGATCATCTACATTTAAAAAACTGCCTATGCTTCGCACACACACATACAGGAATCTATGTGTACGTAAATATACATGTGCGTTGCTGCAGGGGCAGGTATATATATAGGCACATAAGTATGCACGTATATAGGGGTGTATAACCACGCAAAGTGGATGCACATAACGAAGCGCATAGTATTATATACCTCCTTCTCTATGGAAAAAAAAAGGAGAAAAAAAAAAATAGCTATCATTATTTTATATATTTTTATAATAAATAAAATAATAATACATTAATATGCAACGAAATGAAAGGAAAAAGGAGGGGGAGGTAGAGGAATTCATAATGTCCGAAGCTAATGGAAGAAGGGGAGTAAATTATAAAAGAACGGGTTACTCATACGAGCACATGTGCGTACACACA